GAGGGGGCGGTCAGTCGGACCGATGAAAGGTGCCTCGCGAGAGCGGGAGAATGAGGAGTGGGAAAAGGGCGGGGAGAGCGTATGCGCGTGTGTCTGTGTGTGTGTGTGTGTGTGTGTGTGTGCGAGAAAGAGAGAGAGGGGGGAGAGGAGGGAGGCAAAGGGAGAGACACGGAGAGACACGGAGAGACACAGACACACGCAGACAGACACAGAGAAAGGGAGCATGCACAGGCCAGAGGGCACACCGAGGCTCACATACCCTCAGAGGCGCCGACCGTGGTGATGATCTCGGTGGTCGGGCAGATGGAGATGCCAATGCGCGGCTCGTAATACTTGGCCAGAGCTACACCACACGACAGAGGACCAAGAGAGAGAGGGAGAGAGAGAGAGAGAGAGAGGAGGGCAGCATGGGCACCGTGTTAGTCATCACGCCGCGTGCGCCCCGCACGGCAGACACCCCGAGCGACAAGCAAGCAAACCCCCCCCCCCCCCCGCCCTCCCCCGGTGGGGATTGGCCGGCAGGAGGCACGGTTGGCAGGAACACGCACCCTGCACCAGGCGCATGTGCCCCTGGCTGCGGGCATACTGCTGCATCATGGTCCCGGCTCCGACGGCCTTCTCCGCGGCCTCGGTCAGGAAGCCCGGCAGCGGCAGGTTCGGGAACCCCTGGCCCAGGTTGACCGCCGAGTGGGCATTGGCCAGGGCGGTGAACTCGGCGAACACACTCCCACGAGGGTCGAAGGTGCGCACGCGGTCGGCCGCGCGCGGCGAGAACCCGTCCGGGCCGAAACCGGGCCGCGGCTCGGCGGCCCCCGGGGCAGACGACGGAGTGGAAGAGGACATGCGAATGAGGCCAGCGACGGCAGGCGAAAGACCGGGGCGAGTCCGGGCGATGGAGGTACGAGCGACGGTGGCGGCGACAGCAGCGGGTACAGAGCCAAGCATCGGGGCGGCCGGCGGCAGGGGCAAGGCGCAGGGGAGGAGGAGGGGGGGCGAGAGGGGGCAGGGGGGGGGGGGGGGGG